TGGTAGGAAGAACACCCCAGACAAATATTTCTGCACACAGAAAGTGCAAGAAGCTGGGGCCATGGAGCGTGGCCCCTGGAGGGCAGAACCAGGTGAGAAAAGACGTGTACTGATAATTTATGTTCTATTTGCAGGAAGTTTCAAGACAGCAAATCATAGGCATTTTGTCCTCTCTGTCAGAGATGAAAAGGAGGCCAGTCAAATCCTCAAGTTGTGACTCCACTCATGGAGAGAAGGTATGAGGCCTAGAATACAAAGCCCAGAGTTGAAGCACACCGAGATTTGTCTCTCTGCTAGAAATCTCGATCCTGCCTCCGGTACAGTCTGTGGAGGTGGGTGATGAGGAAATGATTTCAAGAAGGCATATTTCTCAGATCCTGTTCAGACAAGTTCAGAGTTCCCACGTGTTCAAACAGTCGGGGCAAGGGAGCTGTCTGACCTCCCTCTTATAGCCAGTTAGCTGCCAGTCAAGCTGTACCAAGAAGTCCTGGTGGTAGAGGGGTAGTTTGGACCCAATAATAGGTTTCCAGTAGCTTTCACACTTGGAGTTTTCCTTGGATTCTTCCAAGAGACATTGTTACCTTCAAGGACCTTGAAGGTGTTTATTAGGTTCTTATGCCCCAAAGCATTGAAAGCTTTAAGCCCAGCTCAGTATTGGCTCATGGAGGACAAAGCACTGTGCTAAGGGAACATGGCCAGTGGGGGATTCCTGCTGCTTGGCCTTATGATTTGCTTCGCTAATGAAATGTGAGCACACAGAAGCTTTTAATAGCCCCCTTCTTCCCTGAGACCAGGAAATTCCAGAGAGAGCCTGTTCCTTCAGCCTGTGTCCTGCAGATGACACAGATCCATACTCCCAGTCAACCCATAATGGACATATTATATGTGCAAGATACAACCGCCCTTGTCCGCCCCTGAGATTTGGGGGTCACTGGCTATCACAGCACAACCTAGCCCATCCTGCCAGGTACACAAGTTACAACTAGAGCCTAGTCTCCCAAATCTGAGTCATCAGGTTAATTCTATTCTTAGTTTGCATGTTAGTTATCTACTGCTGCATAACTAATTACCCCACAATTTAGCAGCTTAAAGCAACATACGTTTATTATCTCAGTTTCTGTGTTTCAGGAGTCTGGGCATGGCTTAGCTGGGTCTTGTGCCTTAGGGTTTCTCACAAGACTCCAATCTGAGTGTCAGTCATAGCTGGGATCTCATCTAGATTGCAGTGGGGGAAGGACAGACTTTCAAGTTCACCTGGGGTTGGCAGCATTCTCATTCTGGTCCTTGGGAGCTGATGGGTGGAAGACCTCAGGTCCTGGCCAGCTGTTGGCTGGAGCATTCCTGGATTCTGTACCATGTGGATTACTTAATGGGCACACCCAGGTGGCAGTGGAGACAGTCTGCTAGGGAGACAGATGTTATTGTTTTGGAACCTAGTCATACAAGTGCCATCCCATTACTGTTAGTCTATTCATTAGAAGCAAGTCATGTTCAACCCACTCTCAGGGAAAGAGATTTCACAAAAAGAGCAGGGGGACGGTAAGTCTTCACCAAATTGTTTTCAAAGGAAATAGCCATTGAATGGAGGTTACTAAAAAATCTGTGCAGATTCAACTAACCCTTATCCTCTTCCCTGGCCTTCCATACCTTGGACTGTGATGTCTCCATACAAGGTCATCTTTTGTCAACCAGCTATTGTTGCATAACCAACCTCCCTGAAGTCTCAGGGGCTTGCAATAATACATATGCATTTCTCATTCGCCTTTTGGGAGCTTGGCTGAAGCAACTCTGTGTCCCCAACATGAGTTCTGCAGGTCACCAGGATAGCTTTTTTCCGACCTGACATGTATTCTGCTCATGGACATGAGTGTGCAAGAGGATAATCTACCATCCAAATACTGTTTGCTCCAGTCTTTGCAAAAATCATGTCTGTTCATTTCTCAGTGGCTGAGGCAAGTCACATAATCCAGGTCAAGAAGGGATGGGGAATAGCCATGGGTCTATGGCTAAATGGGGTGCATACTATTACTACTACAAGAAGTAAAGTTTTGAGGCCCAGAACTCCACAGAATGCACCTGAAACCCTCTGCACCACCACTTTGTTGAGTTTTCAAACCCAATATTGACACATCAGAAACAGGGATATAAGCCAGGTGTTCAGCAGGCTTCTGCTTCCAGTGTCACAAGAGAGAGAGTTAGAAAGAAAACTAGGATCAGTGTACTTGGAAGTAAATGGGACAGGTAGGTGGGACACCAGGGAGGATTTGAAACAGGAGAGGAACAATAGGTCCTTCCTTTGTCTGGGTTCTGGAAGGGCATTTGGAGTCAGAACAGGTTTCTTCCAGTGCAGGACACACCCACAGCAGGAGTCCCAGGAAATAAAGCAGGGAGGGGGCATTGCGGGACTTTGAATCTGAGTTAGACCTTGAACCTCTTCTGTCCAGTAATTGTGCAATGGTTCCAATAACCCAAGAAAGACTCCTCTATGCTAGCAAGCTGTAACACTTTGTTGATCTCCCAACAGTGTCAAGCTGCAGTGTACTAACAACGTTTTATTTTGGCAGTGTTTAGATTTGTAAAGTTTGTCTTCTATATCTGGTGGATGTCACTAGTTTCCTGTTTACTTTGGTGATACAACGCTTCCTTTTCAATAAATACATTAAAATAAACAGTCAATTTCATGAAAAGTATCCAGCACACACTATTGCAGGTGGTAGGTGGATACGGCAGAACGCCAGTCTGAGTGTGGCATTTGGTAAGTAGTGATAAGAGTAGAAAGAGGAAAAAAGAGGAGAAAGGGACTTTGATGCAGTCAGTCTGGGTTCAAATCCACTTGCTCTTTTAGGAGGCAGTGCTAGGGATTCAACTCAGGGTCTTTGCACTGAGCTATACCCCCAATACTTAATTTGTTTTGAGAGAGAAGATCTCACCAAGTTGCTGGATTGCCCAGGTTGGGCTTGAACCTGTGGTCCTCGTGCCTCAGCTTCCCACAGTGCTGAGGTTGCAGGTGTGAGCCACTACTCCAGATGGCAGGTTACTTCTATAGCTTCTCTCAGCCCTAGTTTCTTCCTGGATCACAGAAGAGTAGCTTTATTTGTAGGCTGTTCTTACACTGCAGGTAATGTTGGCAAAATAAATGGCCAAAGCAAATGGCAGAGACTCATTGGTTCGATCTCCCACCTTGCCTTTCTTTCCAAGAGAGAGACCTTTGTTTTCCAGGGGGCTGTGGTCAATGCAGGCACTATGGCCAATGCAGGCCTTGGCTCAAGTGAACACCTTCCTGTCCCCTCTCCAACCAAAGAATCTCATGCTCTTGCAGGGAATCTTCTCAGCTGCATGATTAAAAGACACCTGCAAAGTTAGACTTTA